CATAACAATTTGCTTTTGCATAATGTTATTATTATTAGCAGTATTATTTATTATATCCATATTTATATTTGTTTTATTAAAAACAAGCTTAGATTTGTCCACCTGTCAGGTTTTAGACCATATGGGGTACAGCATGTGTTTTAGGATATAACTCAGGTTTTTGAGCACATTTTGTTATTATTATTAATTTATTTGTTTGCTGGAAATTAGAACTGAATTTAGAAATAGTTTTGAAACGAATATTTGCGCTTAACAAACAAAAATATTTATTTATAGACTAATTGATGTCTGTATGTAAAGGTTTCCCTATCCAAGAGTGAAAGTGATCCATTATCTCTCATTCTCACGCAGTACATGCTCTGTTTAACAGTTTTCTGTTAAAAAACTGTCAACTGTTCACTGTTTGCTAGTGAAATGCTCATTTTTTCCACTTAGACTTACTTTGCGTCCTGTAAATAGCGAAAGGCTCTTGGTGTGACGCAGCTGGCTCTTAAAGGGAATGGGAGATGAGACTCTAATTGGTTTATTCTTAAAACACACCTATAACTTATTAAGAAAATAAACTCAACCCTTTTAGACCATGCGCCGAAGCGCAAGGCAGATTTCCTGTCCTTAAATTAGCAAAAACGTGTCCTGACACGCCCTGAAAGCGTTTGCGCCCTGCGTTTTGCGCTTTGCGCATGGACCGTTAAAATAGAGCCCTCAGTCACTGTTATCTTTTTCTTTGCTTTGTTGGTTCAATTCTCTAAGTGTGAAAAATAAGAGTTGTTTGGAGAAAATTGTGAACCTAGGAGGAAAAATAACAGGGAAAAAACAGATGCCCATGGCTCAGTTATACCAGAGACAAGTTTTGAGTAAAGCTCAGAGTATTCTGTCAGATGATTCCCATCCTATGCACCACGAGTTTTATCTTCTCCCTTCCGGTATTCGATACAGAACTCCTATTAGTAAAACAAATCGTTTTAAACTTTCATTCATCCCCTCAGCTGTAAAGTTTTTAAACTTAGGGTAGAATTTGTATTGTATAATGTACTTTTGTGTATTGTGTGTGACGCTTGTATGCTGCAACCAAATTGCCTTCGGGAAATGAATAAAGACTGACTGACTGACTAATACGTTTTTAAAAATTAAATTATGTTATTTAGATTAAATTTAGGTTAAATTTTACATTTATTTTTTAGTTAACTACATTTATTTTTAAAGATTAAATTAGATAACATTTCAAATTAACATGGTTAATTTATTTAAGGTTAAATCTTGTATTAATACTAGACAAATTGCACATTACTTTTAAAGCAAGTTTAATTGCATTATTTATAAAAACAGAAGATTTATCTTTTTTTGTTGTTGTTGTAAAAGTAAACATCTTGAAATAAAAACTGTAATTTAAATAATAAAAACACAGTCCAGTAAAACCTTTCGACACGTCCGGAGAGATTCCCCGCAATTTAATAAGATCATAATCCCCTGAAACAAAAAAGAAGAAAAACAATACCTTCAGCCAGACATTACAAAAAATGTATACATTCCACACACACACGCACACGCACACACACACAATCTTTGAGTGAACTGTTTGTTTAAAAGCCGTGTAATGCACTGATGTGTTTTTATAATAGTGCTGAATGTGGCTGCATTTACACCGCATTGTTCAAGTACTCAATTCATATTTTGTTTCCGTATCTGGCACAGATCAGATATGATCCCACATGAATTCCAATTTACTCTGATCAGACTAAACATTACTCCACCCACATATAGACAGGGCTGGACTGGGGCAAAATATCTTTCAATAATAAACATAACAAAAACTGCCTGCTAATGCATGGCTAAATCTTCAAAGGGAACAGTGTACTTTATAACCACATTCACCTCATCCTGCTTGCTGTTTCACTATCTAAACAATGAAAACTTATACTATGTCAAATTTGTTTCATTTTGATATCATGATTAACAGACACCACACAGCCTCGTGTAGCTGCATATTTATATGAGCATCATCTTCACTCTGCATATTTATAACAAAACAGGGCTTACATATAACTGTCTCCTTTCATTTCCATTGAAAAGAATGAACTTTACCCTGTCTCTTTTGCAGAATATCAGTTTTAATAACCAATAAAGGCCATTATAACAGTATAACGTACATTAAATTTATATGATGAAGGTAAGCAATCAGTCAATGTGCAGAATCAGTGTATGTGGTTACATAAATTAATATATTAGCTTATCTTGGCACTCAGCCAAAACGGTTAACTGAGAACAAGTGATTCAAAAAACATAAGAATTGTTAGATAGAGACAACAAGATGAATTCAATATCACGTTTAACAACTATAGTGAGATGAGATCATCCAGCAGATGAACTGTCTGACATGCACTATACTCTCACCTGGGGTTTATGCTCACCCACGCTGAACTAGTGGCTGCAGCTCTTGGCAGAGAGTGTGTGGTCACGTGATTTGCACTTTTAGCCGTGTACTAGAATGAACGGAGAACTTTTCAGAACCGCTAAATGAAGTTCTGCTGTTCTGATGTCAGCTGCAGATATGAATGAATGGCGGGAGAAAGTAGTTCCTCATAATGATTCCATCCAAGGATTTTTGAGATGTTAGATTTTCTTTTTTATATACAGGATTATGTCGTCAAACTGTTGTATAAATGCAATATCACACTCGTAGCAGTGCGATATGGCAGTATATTGTCACTAGTGGGACCCTAAGGCCAACGTATGCCTACCATCAGTGCCGATATACAGCCACATCGCACCACTACAAGTGTGATATTGTATGCATGCATGCATGCATGCATGCATGCATGTACGTACATACATAATGTACAGGGTGGGCCATATAGTAATAATAATAATAATAATAATAATTGTCTAATTGCCTAATAATTGCCTAATAATTGTTCCTAAAATGGTGTTTAAAAAATTAAAAACTGCTTTTATTCTAGCCGAAATAAAACAAATAAGACTTTCTCTACAGGAAAAAAAGATGTGTTTATCAGACATACTGTGAACATTTTCTTGCTCTGTTAAACATCATTTTGAAAAAAAAAAAAAAAAAAAAACAATTCAAAGGAGGGCAAATAATTCTGACTTCAACTGTGTGTATAAACAGTTGAAGTGAATTATTAGTCCCCTGTTTATTTTATCCACAATTTCAGTTTATTGGAGAGCAGATTTTATCAACACATTTTTAATCAATATAGTTTTAATAACTCATCTCTAATAACTGATTTACTTTATCTTTGTCATGATGACAGTAAATAATATTAGACTAGACATTGTTCAAGACACTTCTATACAGCTTAAAGTGACATTTAAAGGCTTAACTAGGTTAATTAGGTTAACTAGGCAGGTTAGGGCAATTAGGCAAGTTATTGTATAACGATGGTTTGTTCTGTAAACAATCAAAAAATATATATAGCTTAAAGAGGCTAATAAATTTGACCTTAAACCTTTGACCGTTTGTCCTAAAAATGGTGTTAAAAAAATAATAACTTATTTTATTCTAGCCGAAATAAAACAAATAAGACTTTCTCCAGAAGAAAAAAA